CTAGTCATAAAAAAAAAAAATTCACAAAATTTAAATTCGCTGCAGGACCATTACATTAGGCATGTTCATGCACGAGTGTGCATCGTTCAGATTGATTTAGCAAGTGTCTCCCGATTAAATCGAAGATGACACTTTTTTGCTGTTGAAATGTCAGGAGTTGAGCACCGCTCTCACAACTGAGAAGCATTCGGACATAAATGGATTGAAGCTTTATGAAGCGCTGAAACCATTAAGGCGTATTAAACCTACGGCCATAAAACGGCCATTGCAGGTTCGTCAATTTATCGTCAAGAAAAATGTCATTGATGTGATTCCTAATGTGCTGAGTTACGGTTGCCAGACGTACTGATTTTATTCATTTCTTCAATCAGTACGAAAATGTTCTGATTTTTCAAAATTTGTACTGATTTGTAGTGAATTTTCAATTCAAACAAAATGCTTTAGGATTTTCTTAAGGTTCTTACACCACGTTGGAACTTCCTTAAACTGTACTGTAAAAAGTAAGAAGAAAATAATTTAATTATAGTTGACATGTTTCAGATAATGTTTGATATGCCCAAGAAATTAATACAACAAAAAGATCAATCGTATTATGGGCATATCGCCGGGTCATTAAATTCCAGTTGCGATAACATAATGGAGCTTAAATTACTAAAAAGATCTCTGACATTTTTTTGCCGAGTGTTAGTTATCTCTAAAATAAATTTCAGTTTAATAACAACAAATATGAATATTCGAATGGCCTTTGCCTATAACTCACGATTTTTTTTTCACAATTTACTGATATTGTAAAAGAGTTTTGCTACAAGACATAGTGTTAGATACTCTTTTCAGCGAATTCTTAGTTTTTAAAAGTTTTTGCGTATTTGAAAAAATTAATTTCAGCAATGAGGAAATATGGATGAAGTCCTTAAATAGTGGTACTTTTCCACAGTTTGAAATAATAATGCCTATTACAGTATCCGACAGATGTCGTCCGCACGGATCTAATCCGATTCGTACTGTCATAACAAGCGAGGAGTGTGAAGGATTAGATTCTTGCGAATGACATCCGTGGGATACATGCCTATTCCGGTCCGCAGGATGTAAAAAAATCTGGCAACCCTATGCTGAGTCGATACTTTTAAGTAATGATCGATACTCGGTACCGATTTAAATATTATCCAATACTTTCGATACTCGGTACCGCAATGTTTAGGCTTCCAATTAAAAATGAAAAATATATATACATTTTCTGTCGCTAGAATGCAAGAAACTCTTCCTAATTTGAAACTTTTTTTCTAGATTAATCGGACGATATTATCTTTGTTGGCCTGAAAGACCTCTTCATCCGTTAAAGCATTTTTCATGAATTTTAGATCTACGAAGGTGGAAACTGATAAAAAGGTATTTTACTGTTGCGATAAGGAAAAAGGCGATGAGACTGTTGTTTGCGATGGCAAAACCTTCGACATGTGGTTTCCTCATTGTTCAGTACAAATTGTTCAACTCTTGCGAAAGCTTCGTCTTATGCGTACTAATTGTGAAGTATATTCATAGACGAAATAAATTCGTTGGCGGTTTTTTTTAGTCAGGCTATGCTATTCACTTCAGATTTGCCAATTTGAATTCAAAGCCAATCAGATTGAAACTCACTCGTAAGTTAATTGCAGAACTTGCCAGATTATGGCGAAGGTTTAGTGTATCTATAGAATTGATATTGGGTAGTGAAAAGGAAGTATTGGGTACCGAAATCTTTCTGAAGTATTGGGTATCGAGTATTGGGTACCGCCAATTCAGTACATCACTATTTGCCAGTGACTGTTGCCTTTTCGAAATTGAAGGTCATCAAGACGAACTTAAGATCTACTTTGTCCCGAGAAAGATTAAACGCTTTAGATATCTTACCTATCAAAACCATCGAAAGGTTTGTTCTAGCCAAAGCACGCAAAGTAAACTGTTTGTAATTGATATTTGAAGATTTTGCTTATAACAAAAATTCATAAATTTTGACTTTTTTGCAAAACATTGATTATCTTATAAGAAACGAAAAGAAAAGAAGGAGGTGATACACATTATTGTCAAAGGGCGCCTCGTTCTATTTACGCCCCGGGCGTCGTTGCTTCTAAAGCCGACCTGCATGTACATATGTATGTATGCAAACGGGTGTGCAGATTACACACATATATATAGGTATGTATGCTTTTATATATGTATACATTTTTTGTCGGAGACAAAAGTATCAAGTAACAAATTATTTCCGGCTCAAGGTTTGGAAATCTTTCAGAACTGTGTCACGACAAACTCGAACATAACAAAAACAAAACATTTCACCAATATTATGTAAAAGTGTTACACATATGCAAGCAACTATGTCTGTAGATATATTACATCAATTAGATACATAATTGTTTGCTTTATACATATTTTTTTATAAGATATCATATTTCCATGTATTAGGACTATTGATACATCTTCCAATAAAAAATGTATACATAAGTACATACATATGTACGTGTTACTGCAATCATGTTCCGTCTACTTGGCAAAGTGGTAAGGTAAAAAGTCAATTCTCAAGGTTACCAAATGGGAACATACCATGCCCAAGGGTGCCATATGCCAATTAGTCTTTCGCCTTTTATACTGCAACATTTCGAGAGGTTAGTGGATACGCATATTCGTGCAAAGCTGGACAACTTAAGGTACTCGTAAACGATGAGAGTAAATCCCTGGAGAATAGGAATTCACTCTCATTCTCACCGTCTAATTGGTCTATTCTTAACGTGGAGTTCTCATAAGTTCTCACGGCTAGAATATTCTCACACGTGTAACAAGTATGTTTGAGTCACGATTGAGAGAATACAAAGGTTGCGCCGATCTCGGACCGCTATTCCTCTCTTAACGAATTTGACAGAATCGTTGTTTGCATGACGTCACACTTGTGCAACTTGTTTACGTTTTCCTTGCAACATTTTTTCTTCTTCTTCCATTCTTGCTCACGTTTTGGCATTTCTCTCTCGCAATTGCACCAGTGTGACGTCACACAAAAGTTATTCTCAAAAATCCTCTCTGATCGGCGCAATCTTGTATTCTATCATTCTTGGGTTTGAGTGTTTTCTTACACTCTCACTCATGTTCTCAGCTGTCATACGCTACATGTTGAGAATTTTTTTGCTCAGCTGTACACAGTGTGAGATGCCTAATAACGCAAGAACAGGGTTGCGTGATTTTTAATTAGTCAAATCACAAGTCCATAAATCAAATTTATTTCTGAATTGAAAGCTGCATCAAATCCTAAATAAATTTCATTTGTGATTTGATTCGTCGACCAAACAAGAAACCAAATTTATTTGTGATTTGATTTGTAGAGCGAATCAATTTGTGATTTTTCAACTAAACAATATTTTTTTTATGCAACACAAATACGTTATTCAAGTATCTTCCAACTTCCAGTTCAATGAACATCGTCGGGGTTATCGGTACCATTTCGGAATTTTCGAGACTTCTTCGGGTTTTTCAGGATTCTCGAGACTAATTCGGGATCTTTGGGACTGTTTCCGGTGTTTTGAGGATTAGGGTTTCTAGGGACTATATCAGGATTTTTGGGACTATTTTGGAGTTTATAAAACTACCTCCAGATTTCGGGGATTAATGGCACTGCACAGGGATTTTCATGACTATTTTGGGATTTTCGAGGCTTATTCGAAATTTTTGGGACTACTTCGCGGTTTTCGAGATTTTCCGGGATTCGCGGGACTACGTCGGTATTTTTGAAACTCTTTCGGGACTTTTGAGACTTTCCTCAAGATTTTCGGTACTATATCGGGAACTTCGGGACTACCTCGGGATATTTGGACTATTTTGAGATTTTTGGCACTAAGCCTAACCATAGGCTCAAGTACAATCAAGTAATTCCGACTGAAAATTGGTCTCTGGTTTTCCGGCCTACCAAAATTCTATATGTCTAGTAGGGTGGTCGTTAACATATGAAAATCTACTTATTATATGATACTCTTCTTTTCAAAAGAATCTTTTGGTACCCTTATTTGAAAATTTCTTGAATACGCGGACAGGATATTAGGGTGGTCCTTAAAAATATCAAAATCTAAATTTTTTATGAGACACCCCTTTATTCTGTTCTATGTAGAAAATAAGGACTTTCAAGAAACTCCCAAAATTTTATAAAAATGTTTTTGGTAGGTGTGAAAAAATTTAAATCTGATAAGTTTGACATATCATAAATGAAATATAAAGATCCATAGATTGTCATTTGTTAACATTTTTTTTTTCAGAATAAGTGCACAATTTTTAAAATTTTTTCTAAGTTTTAAATAATACTGGTTAACAAATAATGATCTGGAAAGATGCCAAGAAACTCATGTTTAGAGTAGAGTTAGTATGGGCTTTCTGAGCTTGGAACGTATTTAAAAAATGTTTTTCATGACAACAAAATCTGTGAAATTTTAATATCTTTAAACACTGGTACCGAACCCAAAAAAATAATAAATACAAAATATAAAATTTTCGTGAATGCCTTTTATTATGCGTAGTAATTTTTGAGGTTGATATTTTAAGGACGACCCTAATTTCTAGCCCATCTTTGGCAGAAGATTTCTGAACAATGGTATCAAAAGAAACGTGTCCTATGAAGTATGAATGCAGATTTACAAATACATTTTTCATTGAGGTTGCCACCTATCTCTTCAGTTAAAATAACGTGTAAGCTTTGAAAAATGTGTAAGAGTTTTCAAGTTAGTTGCACGGTTAAAGTTTTCTTGGTGGTGGTTGCCAGAGAAGCCCATTGTGATACTCGGTATCTAGGACACGTTGACGTTTAAAAAATCGCTAAACATTTCCAACTAAGACAACTCATGTACAAAATTTAATTAAGCTACTAGTATTTCATTAACAACTTCAGTCGTACATCTGAAGCCATCTGTGATGCCAGCAATTGTTCTACATTTTTCATTCTTTCCCTCACTTTACTTACTTGCTTTTGTTTTTGCTTTTGCTTTACTTACCATCACCCGGATCGTAGACCGCGGCACGTCCATTCATCTCATTCACCAACTGATGCGGCGGTTGAAAGGCAACACTTCCGGATACATCATTCAAATAATGCGTCGCCGTTCTGTCAGGATATGTACCGGCCATTAATTCAGCCATATGCTTGGCGTGCGTCTGCCTTGCCCCACCCTCACCCAGTGCATTCGAGCCAGCCGTTAAGTCTGAAGCTGTTGCGCCTGCTGCTGCTGCTGCTGCTGCTGCTGCCTCTGCCTCTGCCTCTGGCAAGACGACATATGCGTATGCATGCCAACAATTGTTGCCAAGCATCAGCAGAGTCGTAGTGGCCAAGGCGTAAATGAAGAACGCGTCACGTTGCATTTGTGCGGCTTTTATTGCGAATAGCTGCGTCGTGGTTTATTATTCTTATTTTGCCACTGACTGTGAGGTCTCCGTTTTTGTTTCTTCTTCTTATTTTGCCTTGGTCTTTGGTATTTGCTTTCGCTAGTAGTGTCAAGGATTAGTGACGGTGTTGCAGTTATTGTTGTTGTTGTTGTGGGTGGTGTTGCTGTTGAAAATTGCCTGCAAGAATTTATAATGGTAATTAACATTTTGTCTGCCTTGAAGCGCCCCCGCGCGAGAACAAATAATTCACAGAATCGGCTTGAAGACAAAAGATGCTGAGTAATAAAACAAAATGTTGACAAGTAACAAGGCAATACAGGCAATATGCTCGCCATGTTGTGGCACGTTGTGGTATTTTATAGTTAAGTGTATATATTTGTGTTATTACTACTACTATTTTTGTTATTGCGTAGGTAGTCTTTCCACGCCACTTGGAACCTACATTTCAGCTTCAATCTATTTGTCGCCCGAAACTCAGCTTTAATATACGCATTTATGTACATTAGGATGCATCACTCTTCATACAAAGAAAAAACGGTACTCTTTTCCCATGGGAATTATAAAATTTATTATATTTTAAGACTTACACCGAAATATTTCGCTAAAATATTGAGAGTTAATGAGCTGGATCATTAAAAAAAAAAATTAAAAAAAAAAAATTTCCAAAAAATCACCTCAGAAGATTTATATTTTTCACTAGCAAATACCCCGTGTGCTTCACTGCGCCTTAAAAGTATTTTTGTGTTTTATGGCTTCATAAAAAAAAATAAATAAAATAGATTTGCAGAGCTTATGAAGTAAGATTTTCAAACAAATTTTCGCTTAATGAAACATACTTTATTTTTTTGAATGTGGGTGTTGGTTAATATATTTTCGAAGATATTGCATGACAATTTAATTTATAATTTTATAACTCAATTCTACATAGTATGCACTTTCTTCAAAGGTATATAAATTCAGTATTATCACTTTAACAAAATACAATTTATAAAATAGGTGGCAACCCGTAAACATTTTTTTTTTCGATAGTAAACTTTTCTAAGCCTCTCTAAAATAGATACTCGGATTTCAATATTTCAATATTTCCTTTATTTCATCAATTTAATATTTGAATAAAATTTTCCAAGCAGGTGGCAACCCTCAAAAAAACCGTTGGCAGTTAACTTTCCTAAGCCTCTTTAGTTTGATACCCACATTACTCTATTTAATTTATCTCATCAATTCAAACAAATTAAAATTTTCTAAAGGGACCATTTTTTTCTGTGACACTTACATTCCATAATAAATTTTTTTTATTTTACGAAAAATGTAACAAGGCTACCCGTAGGTTGGACCAAAAAATCTCGCTTCCAAAAATACTTTAAACTGGAAGTGGCCCAGTGAATTTTTTTTTTCTGTTGCGATCGAATATGTACACACACACATACGCATGTACATATACAAGTTGATGTACTGTTATTTATATTATTGTACTGTGTCCCCCGCTCTGTTAAATTTCCATGAAAACAGTTCACCGTAGGCTGGCTGCTGACTACTTTAAGCCTACAACCCACAAATTATTACAGCAAGTGAGCATTTTCTGCCTTGCCTTCCTCTCCTCTAACTCCTTCCTCACTCTTAATTAGTCTACTTGTTTCCGTATACGAGTATTTCTTTTTTTTTTGTGGTAATTAATATAAATGAGCTGTAAAAAAGGCGTCTGCTGGTAGAGTACGCATGAATTAACTTCAGCGCTATATCTTCATTTCGTTGTCCGCGTTGAAAGCTTATGCCCTGTGCAGGCATTTCTGGTACACGGGGGAATGTCTTCCCTGTGCAGGTGTATGTGTGAGTATGTACTTTTGTGGTTTTCAGGCTAATTTTGTGGCTAATTTGTTGTTTCAATATTTGTTGTTTTTGCGGATTTCCCATCAAAGGAAAAGGGCTCATAATTTATGCTTTTGGTTTATTGTCAGTTGCTGAACGTGAGAGGCGGATACTTTTGGTAGGGTGCGTATTAGGGCGGGTCAATTTGTATTGGGGATTTTTTCGACTTTGCGCATATAGCACGCAAGGATTCTACATGTAATTCTAAGAAAATTTGCCCAAGAAACCCCAGGTCTGAAATCAATTTGTTCTAAAAACGTCCAACAGGGGGCGCAACAGTGAAAATTTGTCGAATTTTCTTCGAAACCTATTTTTGCAATTTGGCACACTCTTTGGTCTCGGAATATTTGCTTAGGATTAGCCGTAGACTCCTCCTATTAGTCAAATTTACCCGCCCTAGTGTAAATACTTATGTATGTGACCTGCATATGTATATTAGGGTGCCTCACAAAAAAAAAAAAAATTCATGTTTTTCACCGAAATTATATAATCTGCTATATTTTAAGCCTCCCGCCAAAATATTTCGCAAAAATATTAAGATTTCCGTGAGCTGGACAGCTTTGAGACTACCTACAAAAATGTCATTGTTTTGATTCCGTTAATAAAATGTAAGAAAATGTATGCAGACCTTTTGCGCTTAAACTCTTCTATCATGTGAGGTGATTTAAAAAAAATATTTCTTAAATACAAATTCTATTTATAAGAAACTCGATTTTGGGAGGTAATTTCAGATGGTTGGTAATATATTTTCCGAAATATTTTAGTGCAAACCTTAAAATAAGTATAATAAATTGTGATGCACCTTAATGTATATACATACATATGTATTTACAATCATGGCAATAGGCCGCACACAGTGCTAAGGTGAATACTACCGCTTTAAGCAATTAGCGATAGCGGTCCTTTCTCACTCTCGACTGCGATAGCATTAAATATTTCATTGAAACATTTATTTGGAAAAGCATTTTGTATTCAATAATCCTTTGCATATTCAGCTAGTGATTTGTGGCCACTCATCCGCTCAGAATTGCAATCTAATAGTTGCCAGATAAGCGTTAATTCAACAAGTGAAGGAAAATGAGAAAAATTACTTTTGTAATAAATATCCAATGCTTCCTGGAAAGCTAGATGCTTCTGAATCCCCTAATTTGATTGTTTTTTTTTTTTTTTTGTACACACAAAGCCATTCTGCAGCCTTTTGCTTTGCGAGCAAGACATTTTTCAAAAGAAAGAAAATAAATGGAGAAAACCAGAAGAGGCAAGAACTTGAGATATCGGTGGGTAGTATTGCGGCCCAAAAATATCTACCAGAAATTAACCAGAAGCCTTCCCAACACGATGTTGTAATAAATACTTACCTTCAAAAATTTTCGCATTTTGCCAAATCCTGAAAAAAATCACCTTAGCTTATCTAAGGTGACACCTACCACATTTTCATCGAGTTTACAGCCACTTTCCAGTAAAACTATTATCAGAAATCACCCCAAATCTCTGCGGATGAGGCTACTAGTATCAACAGCGGGTACCCGGAAAGTTTAAGCTGTTCTGCCATCGACCACACCTCTACTCTGTAGGGAGCCTGTTGTATTTCAAAATACGGATCGCTAAATTCTAACAAGTATCAATACTAATAAACAGTAAGCGCTCTTTGCGTGCGTCCAAAAGCGCTCTTTTTGGCTTCAAGAAAAGGTCGTGAAACAAGGCAAGAAATGTGGAATTGAAGACTGAAGTGGAATACAAAGCTACGGTCAAGTTCTGGAACCATAACGGTGGCAAACCTAATCGAGTTGCTATGCACGGATTAAAAGTTCGAAAACAGAATCAAGGAGCAGATTACTGTTAAGAGGAATACCTGCATATGATAAACTAGCAACGCCTATAAATCAATAAAACTCCAAAGACGGGACCACTAAGCCGAAAGGAGCAAACCTCGTCGCAAACTTCTTAATAGAAAGCTGATCGGGGCGCTCACTGCCTGCAGAAGCCTGCAAGGAATGGTGCCAAAGAAAATGTGTAAAGTATTAGTAAATAGGTTCCTAGAAGCCGGTCTTTTCGGAAAGAGGACGCGCATCTTAGCGGGTCTTTGCCGGCATTTGATGGATCAGGCATAATCACCGGTATCAACATCATCGAGTATAAAAACGACCCTCCGCTTTAACCTGGGTAAAGGGAGCGATTAACGACCTCCAAGGCCGCTAAGGCAGGGGCATTTCTTGAAATAGTAGATCGTGGTGACATTTTGCCGACATTAAAAGCGAAAATGCTGCTTATTCCATGCCGACGGCAAAGTGAAGCGTGTTGCGTGGGACGAATTCAGAGTGGGTGGCCAGACCCCACATAGACTTAAGGCTCTTAATATAAGTACATATAATGAGCGGTTAGTCCATATATGTACATACATATGTATTGATATTGATAATCGTTAATTGGCGGAACATTCCGCATTTTGCGAAACTGGTAACCGGTACAAAGAAATCGGATTTTTCATAATTGGTAACCGGTACAGAAAACCGATTTAAGTTTTGAAATAACCATAATAAAAAATCGGGATCCGATCTTATTCTAAATTGTTAACCGGTACAAAAAACCGGGCTTTTAGAAATTAGTAACCGGTACAAAAAAAAACGATTTTTTGAAATCTTCAACCAGCTACTACCACTAGTGTTTTTTACATTTATCCATTTGAGCAGCAGTGCTAGTAGTAGAGATGAGGTTTGTCAGTAGGTTTTATTGTAATCTAATCACCACATCACTATCTGAGCTACTTAAGTTTTTCTCGTCGTCATCATGAAAAATATTTAAGAACCGTACTAAAATCTATTAATTGGATAGACAGTCAAAACGATAAATGTACATTTACATTGTTAACAAAGTTGTGGGCAGCTAGTGTGTATCACAGTAATTGTTTTCTTTTAATGAACATGTTTACATAACAAGTTAACAACCGGCAATTAACGCCTCTGCGAACATAAACAAATCAAAATTATATCTATTTACATATTCCTACTCTTCCCTTGTAACTACCTTGTCATATATGTAGGTACACCCTTATATTGTCTTCTATTGTGTTTTCTTTCCTTCTTGGTATGTACATACATATAAATTCTTAGTCATTTAGTTGACCGTTAAGTTCTTTGTAAATTTTGGTTACGCAGCGCCGATTATTTGAGGGTAGATATGTATGTACATTAGGGTGTGCCACATTTTTTTTTGGCGAAGCTCCATACGCATAGGCTTTAAATTTTTTCTTTCTAACCTAGATAACGTATAGGGCGATTCAAGGCTGATGCAGATCAACGACAGCAAT